CCCATGTCCCGTGTCCCCGTGTCCCCATGTCCCGTGTCCCCTGTCCCCATGTCCCGTGTCCCCATGTCCCGTGTCCCCATGTCCCGTGTCCCCCCGGCGATGTCCCCATGTCCCGTGTCCCCGTCCCCGCAGCTGGCCCAGAAGTACGACCCGCAGCACGAGCGGGAGCTCCGTGCCTGGATCGAGGGGACCACGGGGCGCCGGATCGGGGACAACTTCATGGACGGGCTCAAGGACGGCGTCATCCTCTGCGAGTACGACCCCGTGCGACCCCCGGGACCCCGTGCGACCCCCGGGACCCCCACCGGGACCCCGTTCAACCCCCGGGACCCCGCTGGAACCCCCGGGACCCCGTGCGACCCCCGGGACCCCGCTGGGACCCCGGCTGTGTCCCCGGCTCTGTCCCCGCGGGCTGGGACCGGCCCCGGTCCGGAGGATGAATTTTAACCCATTCCTCACCCGGGCTGACCCCGAGCCTGCTGAGCACAGCCCCCCAACCCCGCCGTGCCTGTCCCCCACACCCCGCTCCTGGCCGGGCTCTGGGGTCACCCAGGGGTCACCCAGGGGTCACCCCGGGGTCACCCCGGGGTCACTCTGGGGTCACCCCCTGACCCCACCCGTGCTCGGCCCCTCCAGGCTCATCAACAAACTGCAGCCGGGCTCGGTGCCCAAGGTGAACGAACCCGTCCAGAACTGGCACAAGGTGAGGGGACCCCCCAAAACCGGGGCTGGGGGCGGCTCTGGGGGGGAGGATCTGACCCCAAACCCCACCCCGACTCCCCCCGCCCGCAGCTGGAGAACATCGGGAACTTCCTGAGGGCCATCACGCGCTACGGGGTGAAGCCCCACGACATCTTTGAGGCCAACGACCTCTTCGAGAACACCAACCACACCCAGGTCCAGTCCACGCTCATCGCCCTCGCCAGCCAGGTCAGCTCCCGGGGGTCCTGGGGGGGGCCGGGGGTCCGGGGGGCTCCTGGGGGTCCTCGTGTCCCCTCAGAGGACACCGGCCACATGCTGGGGGGGATCCAGAGCGGGGATTTGGGGTCTGGAGAGGAGATTTGGGGTCTGGGGAGGGGGTTTGGGGTCCAAGGAGGGGATTTGGGTCCAGGGAGGGTATTTGGGGTCTGAGAAGGGGATTTGGGGTCTAGAGAGGGGATTTGGGGTCCAAGGAGGGGATTTGGAGTCTGAGGGAAGAATCTGGGGTCCAGGGAGGGTATTTGCAGCCTGGGGAGGGGATTTGGGGTCCAGAAAGGGGATTTGGGGTCCAAGGAGGGGATTTGGGGTCTGGGGAAGGTGTTTGGGGTCCAGAGAGGGGATTTGGGGTCCAAGGAGGGGATTTGGAGTCTGGGGGAAGAATCTGGGGTCCAGGGAGGGGATTTGGGGTGTAGGGAAGGAATTTGGGGTCTGGGGAAGGAATTTGGAGTCCAAGGAGGGGATTTGGGGTCCGGGGAGTGGATTTGGGGTCCGGGGGTCCCCGTGAGCCCCCCCCCAAGCCCACGGTCTCCGCCAGGCCAAGACAAAGGGGAACAAGGTGGGGCTGGGGGTGAAATACGCCGAGAAGCAGCAGCGGCGCTTCCACCCCGAGAAGCTGCGCGAGGGCAGGAACATCATCGGGCTGCAGGTGACACCCGGGGACGCTGGGGGGACACGGGGGGGGCGTGCTGGGGACAGCTGGTGACACCGTGGCCGTCGCTGTCCCCAGATGGGCACCAACAAGTTCGCCAGCCAGCAGGGCATGACGGCGTACGGGACACGGCGGCACCTGTACGACCCCAAACTGGGCACGGACCAGCCCCTGGACCAGGCCACCATCAGCCTCCAGATGGGCACCAACAAAGGCGCCAGCCAGGTGGGGACACGGGGACACTGCCAGCATGGGGGGACACGGGGACACTGCCACTCCACAGGGACACTGCCAGCATGGGGGGACA